CCAGCCACTGCAAGCTCCTCCTCCTGTGTCTGATGCCATTCTCCTGCCTCAGCCTCCTGAGTAGCTGGGACTATAGGCACTCCGCCACTCCGCCTGCCAGTTTTTGTATTTTTAGTAGAAACGGGTTTCACCGTGTTAGCCAGGATGGTCTCGATCTCCGACCTCGTGATCCGCCTGCCTCGGCCTCCCAAAGTGCTGGATTACAGGCTTGAGCCACCCACCAGGCCTTAATCGAACTTGACCAGGGAAATGTTAATGAGTAGTAACAGTTTGGATGCTTACTTTGTTGTCTAAAAATGACAGATATGGCAAAGTACAGTGGCTCACGTCCAACCTGCCTGTTTTGGGGAAGCCAAGGTGGGCGGATCGCTGGGAGATCGGAGATCATCCGGGCCAACATGGTGAAACTCATCTCTACTAAAAAAATACAAAAAATCATCTGATGGTGGCATGCGCCTGTAATCCTAGCTACTCAGGAGGCTGAGGCAGGAGAATCAGCTTGAACTTCAGAAGGCAGAGATTACAGCTGAGATTTGGCCACTGTGCTCCAGCCTGGCGACAGAGCAAGACTCTGCCTTCAAAAAAAAAAAGATAGATTTTGATCACATGTTAAAATAAGTATTCTGGCTCGCACGGTGGCTCACACCAGTAATCCTAACACTTTGGTAAAGGCTGGCGGTGGCTAGATCCCAGTGAGCCTGGTGAGCTGAGTACCATCCTGGGCAATATGAAGCAAAACTCTCGCTCTATAAAATGACATGTTAAAAAAAAAAAATTTAGCTGGGTAGGGCATGATCCTGTAGTCCCAGCTACTCAGTAGATGGTTGTGGGAGATCCACCTAGGGCCTGGGGAGGCTGAGGCTGCAGTGGAGCCATGATAGTGCCATTGTAGTTCAGATGGAGCAACAGAGAGAGACCTTGTTTCAAAAAGAAATATATAAAGAAATACACATTTCTCTTTGTTAAGCATATGTATATTCAGAAATGTTTCTATACAAATTTACATAATATATAAAATAATCGAAACATCATATACAGAGCATCAGATTGAATATCTATGCCATCTGGGTCTTCACAACATTTTGTTCTACTTAATCTATCAAAGTCTAATCATTTCTTCAAATCCTTCCATTGTATCTCAATTGAAGCTTGTAAATTCTTAAGGTATGTGGTTGGTTGAGTGGTGTTCTTAATTTTCTTCTTCATAGATCGTTGATTTGGGCAAGTATGAAATATCAACTATTTTTCTTTCAAAGGCTGTTTGTGTTATATTGGTTTGCTATTGCTGCAATAATCATACTCACATATTGAGCAGCCTTGTGCAACACAAACTCATTTTCACAGTTCTGAATATCAGAATTCTCACAGGTCTTTGCATTGCAAATCAAGGCTATAATGTGTCTGCATTCTCTCATGTTTCAGAGACAACCATTTCTTGTTCTTTCAGATTCTTAGTAGAAATGTATATACTTGTATATACACAGATTACAGATAGATGTATGCTTATTAGTTTTTCTAATGCACTGCTGACTTCTTTTATTCACAGTAGCATCTCATCTTCTCCAGATTTGGGGTTCATTATTCCACCCCCTGACGGCATCTTTAGTATTGCTTTCAGAAAAGGCCTAGATGCAACATATCTGCAGGCTTGCAGCCCCAGTGATGCCCGGCTCTGTCTCTCTCTCTCTCTGCCCTCTCCTCTCTCTCTCTCTCCATTCACCTTAATCTCTCTTTCTCTGTAAGGTTAGTCATGGGTACCTGATAAAGGACACTGAAACGCCTCTCCTATTCCTTAAGTAAGACCACCGCCTGACCTGACAACTCAAATGTCCTGCCCTCCTTGTGTTTTTAGGATTTATCCACAGCTGACCTGAAACTTAGTCCTTTAATACGAATGAGGCCAGGTTGCAGTGAGCCAAGATCGCACCATTGTACTGCAGCCTGACAACAAGAGCAAAATTCCATCTCAAAAAAATAATAATAATAATAATAATAAATAATAATACTTATAATAGTAATAACTAGCCCCAGCACAGAACTCTCTCCTCACAATTAAGCCCTTCTGGTTGTTTCTCCTGTATCTTCTGGGGCTGCTGCTCGTTCTTTTCGAACTCCAGTCCCAATGAGCTTTTCATTCATTCAAGGGTCATTTACATTTTCTCTGGTAGTTTTAGGATTATTTTAAATTGATGCCTCATGTTTTTCACTTTACTAAGACCTAGATATTAAATTTAGTTATAAACTGATGCCGCTTTCTTCAGTTCTATAAAAATCTCCAACCCATTAGTTCTTCATGCACATTGTGAACTAACATCCTTCTTCCTTCTTTCATTCTGAAACCCGACAGACACGCTCTTTTCTTCTCATTCAACCTGTATATATTAATATTTTCTATTGTTTAATTTCTGTTCTTCTTCCATGACACAGCATGGAAAATTCTAAGGAACATTTTATGCTAATGTGTATATTTACTATTTCAGCTGTCTTGTCCTGGATTAAATTATGTTTTTGATTTTGTTATGTTCGCATAGTAGGTATATACTAGTAACTACTTGTTTTGTTTTTTTTTTGAGACACAGTTTCGTTTTTTCTTTTTTGAGATAGGGCTTCTACTTTTTTTTTTTTTTGCAGACGGAGTCTCGCCTCTGTCGCCCAGGCTGGAGTGCAGAGGTAATCTCGCTCACTGCAAGCTCCGCCTTCCGGGTTCACACCATTCTCTTGCCTCAGCCTCCCGAGTAGCTGGTAGTACAGGCACCGCCACGACTCCCGGCTAATTTTGTATTTTTAGGGAAACAGGGCTTCACTGTGTTAGCCAGGATGGTTCTATCTCCTGACCCTGATCCACCCGCCCCAACCTCCCAATATGCTGAATTACAGGTGTGAGCACAGTGTGAGCACCGCGCCTGGCCGACAGTTTCACTCTTGTCCTAGCTAAAGTGTCTTGGCATGATCTCAGCACACTGCAGCCTCCACCTCCCAGGTTCAAGAGATCCCAGCCCAGCCTTGGCTGGGATTACAGGCACTCACCACCATGCCTAGATTAATTTTGTATTTTTTTTTAGAGAGGGGGTTTCCACTGGCCTGGGCACGGTGGCTCAAGCCTGTAATCCCAGTAATTTTGGGAGGCCAGATGGGCGTACGCCGAGGTCAGGAGATCGAGACCATCCTGGCTAATATGGTGAAACCGTCTCTACTAAAAAAATACAAAAAAATCAGCGAGGCAAGGTGGCGGGCGCCTGTAGTCCCAGCTTACCGCCGGGAGGCTGAGGCAGGAGAATGGGCGGTGAACGCCGGTGGCGGAGCTGAGCGCCGCAGTGAGCCATCCCACCACTGCACTCCAGCCTGGGCGGCAGGGCGATACCCGTCTCAAAAAAAAAAAAAAAAAAAAAAAGAGATGGGGTTTCACCATGTTAACCAGGCTGGTCTTGAACTCCTAGCCTCAAGGATCTGCCCAGATCTGCCTCCCCAAAGTGCTGGGATTACAGGCATGAGCTACTACGCCCAGACATAAATTCCTTTTTAATGGTGTTAATTTAATATAGTTTTTCACCTTCACAATGTCTACCTTCCACGCATTCGACAACTTTCCCCACATGGTTGTCATTCTAAAAAGCCTCCTCCCACGCACCTGGCCTTCTTACAAAGGGTTTCTCCCAGGGCTGTCCAGGCATCAGCCTGATGAAGGGGATTGTTGCCTCTGCTCCTGCCTCACTCTCCCAAACTTAGCTAGCTCAAGATTGTGCCCGTGCAGGGATGGGACTAACGCCAGCCTCACACTCACCTGTGGGGCAGACGCCTATATCTGAGCACCGTGGACTGGAATCTGTTTCTCACACACGGGGAGGGGCTGATAGCTGACTGTGGACTCCAGTGAGACAGAGACCCCCAGCGCCCGTCCACACACACAGGGAGGGGGAGCTACAGCTTCAGCTCCCACTCCAGAGCCCTGACTCCTCCCTCTCTGCCCGGGAGGACCCGGGGTTCCCTCTTCTGTCCTACACGGAGGTGGGAATCCCACCCTAATGACTCCTGGTGGTCCTTGTAGACACCTGTATACTCAGCTCTGAACTCTGTTCGATTGATGGGGACGCTGCCTCACGATGGGAATCTTTTTCTTTCTGTGCCTGTGGCTGTGTGGTCTGCATATTTCAGACATATCACAAGGAGCACTTGGTATTTGCAGCCGATGTCAGCTCTTGAGTGGGGGCATCAATCATCCTCCTGACTGTAGGAGCCCAACACCAGGATCCTCTTCCCGCCCCACCTCCGGTCTGAACAGGTCTGGAAATTCACCACGGCTGAGGCCTCCTGGTTCCGGGGCACCCACTGACCCCATAGCCACTGTGATGAGTGGACTGGCGACAACAGGCTCAGAGGCAAGAGAGATGAATGTCCAAGGTCACATAAACCTGGATGATACTCAGGAATTAATAATAATAATTATTATAAATAATAGTAAATAATTATTATAAATAATAATTAATAATCAGCTCCCCAACCCCAGAATCAGATTACAGATTACAATGAAACTTATATATATATACTTCATCCTATTTCTCCCTTTTCAGACAGGATCTTGCTGTGTCGCCCGGCTGGAATGCCGAGGGGTGACCACAGCTCCTGCAGCCTCCGCCTCCCGGGTCCCGAGTGATCCTCCCACCCAGCCTCCTGAGTAGCAGGACTACAGGCATGGAGCCCATGCCCAACTCACTTTTTCTTTCTGTGAGTAGACAGGGTCGCAGTGCATGTTGCCCAGGACTGTCTGAAGCTCCTGGCCTGTCACCCGCCCCAGCCTCCTGGGAAGGCTGGGATTCCAGGTCTGTCACCATGCCACAGCAGACCCAGCATTTCTCCTGTGTGCTCACTGCCACACGCAGCCTGGGCTCGGGGCTGCACGGCCCAGTGTCAGGCCATGTCCAAGTGACCTGGGTCCTGTTTGCATGGACTCCAGATCTTCCTGCGATTCTGTTGAGATGATTGTTATGGTGACTCGTAATGCTGAGCCGATGGACGGGCTGAAGGAGGGAGGGAGACCCCATGGGGAGGCTCTGAGAGGGAAGAGGAGCCCATGGTCGCCCTCACCTGAAAGGGGCTGACTGAGGAAGTCACGGGGTCTATTTGCTGCTGTGTCCTGGCCCTCAGTGAGATAAAGATAAATCAGGCAGACAGTGGCCCGGGGACGGGGAGACCCCATTTCTCTCTGAAATGTCTGCAGAGAGCCTGGTGCCCGCCCCCACCTCAGCCCTGGGGAAATGAGAGCCAGGCTCCCGGGGGGAGGGCAGTTCCCCTTCCTGTGGGCTGAGGATGAGACAATCCCATGACAAGAAGGACCCAGCCTCCGAGCGGCCACACCCTGTGTGTCTCTGTCCTGCCAGCACCGAGGGTTCATCCATCTGCAGAGCCCGGGCCACTGGGAGGAGACGCCATGACCCCCGCCCTCACAGCCCTGCTCTGCCTCGGTGAGATTTCCAGATGGGGAGGGGCAGATCCGAGTCTTGAAGGGACCCCACCCCACACACAAGCCCTGGTCCATCAGGAGACCTCAAAAGCTCAGGAGGCACCAGGGCAGGCACCAGGGTCTGCTCAGGCTTCAGGGGCAAATCCTTCACTGGGAACTCTCTTCCAGGGCTGAGTCTGGGCCCCAGGACCCACGTGCAGGCAGGTGAGTCTATCCCCAGTTGTCCCAGGTCCCTCCTCCTCACTAGGGACAGGGGCCACACATGGGCAGCTGGGGGAGGAGACAGCAGTTCTGTGTGACTGATGGCGATGACGGGGGGTCCTGGGGCTGGGAGCTGGGATCTGGGGGGCTGAGGGACGTCTTGGGATCCAGCCTCTGATTTCCTTCCAGGGCCCCTCCCCAAACCCACCCTCTGGGCTGAGCCAGGCTCTATGATCATCCGGGGGAACCCCGTGACCATCTGGTGTCGGGGGACCCTGGAGGCCCAAGAGTACCGACTGGATAAAGAGGGAAGCACAGTGCCATGGAACGCACAGAACCTAGTGGAGCCCAGGAACAAGGCCAGATTCTCCATCCCATCCATGACAGAGCACCAGGCAGGGAGATATCGCTGTAACTATGTCAGCCCTGAAGGCTGGTCAGAGCCCAGCGACCCCCTGGAGCTGGTGGTGACAGGTGAGAGGTCTGTTCTCTTCATCTCACAGAGTTTCAGCTTTCTCCGCAGCAGTCTTTTGCTAAGACGGCTCTTGTAGAATTTGCAAGTGATATTTGGAAGCCCTTAGAGTGCTTCTAATTTGACACAGCACCAATACTACACACAATAACTGGAATGAATGACTACATCTTCCTTGGTTCTTCCATTGGGCAGGGCCATTATGCTTCTTTTTGGACTGAATAGGTGTGATCTTGTTCGAGAAAAGTGTGTAAATGTAGGGCCAGATTTTGTTTGTCTCCGTTCCGAAAATTGCGGAGCACTCGGTTTCTTGCATAATTCAAATGACTGGCTTTGCCACATCTTTGTACTGTCCTAGCTTGGCAGCAACTGCTTCTTGGTTTATCATCCTCCTGCTGGACTAAATGGCTCACCAGTGACATCATCAATACCATGTACATGAGGTGGATTGAAGTCCAGGTTATATACCCTTCCGCTAGGAGGGTGAATTCAACTGTGCGGCTGGAGATGATCTTTAAGTGTTTCAAATGGAATGTTCAAACTGATCACTAGATCCACTTCACAGATTTTGTCCAGGGCTTCGGCTTGTCCTAATGTCCTAGGAAAACCATCAAGGAGCCAGTGCTGGCCACGCCTATTCTCCAACTCAGACATCATTAGGCGTGTGATCACATGGTCTGGAACCAAAAGACTTTTCTCTATACTGCTATGCTGTCTCACCAACTTCGGTGTTGGCCTTGATGTTCTCCTCAAGAAGTGGCTGGAGAGATGCTGGAGGCCAAAGTTCTGGCGATCCTCTGCACACGGTGCCTTGCCCGAGCCGTGGGTGGGTTCGAGGATGACCAGGAGTTTAGAAGCCACTGTCTGCGCGAGGAGTGGGGCGGCCAAACAAGTAGCCCCGACCACTGCCCTGGAGGGAGCCCTCGAACTTTGTTTCTCGGCCCCTACCTCTGCACTTCTCCACTACCGACTGCCTCTTGGATATTCTTTTTTTGGTAAGATGTTTCCCTGAACTTCCTAAAATTACATTTGTATTCATTCTAAAAGCACTCATTACTCATTACACGATGAGTAGAACTCAAGTCACTGTACCAATTCTATAAAAAGCCGAAGAAAATGCTCAGATGGCTTCAATTTACATGGGAAGACTGGAATGCAATCATTATAATATCTCTATAATTACAAACAAGAAGGACAAACTACCGTGGGGCACACCGTAAGTCTCACTTTTTCTTACTGGAGCTGTCTCCTTCTCTAGATCGGTAGTAGCAGCAGTAAGTGTGCTGGCTTTATACTAACGCCTGTGCTGGAGACGATGGTGACTAGACTTCTAGCTGAGGCTCACGAGAAAAGTTGTTACCTTCCCGCTCTGAGGTGTGAACCCAAGTAGATCCAGAACTACTCTATGAGAAAAGTCCTGATGCTACCCACCCTACCCCAGAGTTGACTGAAAGCAGGATGGGCCTCGATCTGAGCATGCCCAGAGGCTCAAAATGCGGGGCTTTATTACCACCACCCCACACTCTATTTCCAGTTCTCCAAGGAGACTTCCATCTAGCCTACCTATGAATTGATGAAATATATTTACATGATACATTCTCTAAGTTTCATTTCTGTACTAAACTAGATCACCAGACAAATATATCCATGGACTATACTTTAGGTTTGAAGGGAGATATTCTTTCAGAGAACTAGTTTTAGTTTTCAGCCTGGACTTTGTTTTTTTTTTAATCTTTTTAGACAAAATGCTATAACAGCCTAAGCTTGGAAAGATATGGCAGGGGGAAAGCATCTGCTCTGCTTGCATGTCCTCCTGCTTCTCTGTTCATGCTTGCCTCCTCTTGCAGCTGGGATTAAAGAAGCCATCATGCTGATAATTTTAGCTGAAGAGAGGTTTACAAGTTGAGTTAGGGGCTATCTAATCCTGGGCCTCGGGCGTGACCTGCCTGCCTTAGCCTCCCAAAGTGCTGGGATTATAGGCATAAGCCACCGCACCCAGCCTATGCCTGGACTTCTATGTAGGTAATCACAGTAGTAGCTACGTGAAGAATATGCCCATAAGAACATGTTTTTAAACTCAAGTACTCATTAAATTATGACCTCATTATCTCACTGTTATTTTAAATTAATCTTTGTAAACCCCAAATCCTTTTCTCAATAAGCAGAACGGGTCTATATAAATAAAAAAACGACTACCATTATGGAATGTACGATTTTTTTCTTGAGATGGAGTTTCACTCTTGTCACCCAGTGAGATCACCCATCTTGTCACCACTCCATCACGCAATGGCGATCTTGGCTCACTGCAATCTCTACCTCCAAGTTCAAGCAATTCTCCTGTCTTGCCTCTCTCATAGCTGGGATTAGCGCCCAGCTTGTTTTTGTATTTTTGTGTAGAGACAGGGTTTGACTACATTGGCCAGGCTGGTCTCGAACTCCTGACCTCAGGTGATCCGGCCGCCTCGGCCTCCCAAAGTGCTGAGATTATAAATGTGAGACACCGCGACCAGCCAAGATGAGTTTTTTTTTTTTTTTTTTTAACGATAAACCTCAAGTCTAACTCTTCTTGTTATGGGGGACAACATTTTAACTGATATTTGAATTTTCCTTTATGGCGCTATAATTTAGCACCTTGCTATTGCTTTATTATTTTTTCAGAAATTGTGAACACTACATTGCCTAGGATGGAGGTGTAGTAGCTATCTACAGATGTAATTGTAGCTCACTGCAGCCTCACATTCCTAGGCTCAAGCAATCCTCCTGTCTCCTCCCTGGAGTAGGGGGACAGCAGGCACACACTGCGGTGCCCAAATCTATCCTTCTAGTTCATGTATTTTCTGCAAAAGCATATCCATTCATTTAATCTTCTTAGGTAGTTTACACATGGTTTTACACCTTTCATTTGCACCAAATTTTAGCACTTAAAACAAACCATATCTAATCTTTGTGATTACGTTATTACAGGTCTGAGCATTCCTAACCCAAAAATAAAAATCTGAAATGCCTGCAATCCTGGGAAATTTTTCGGAGTGGCGAAGTATGACACCACAAGTGGGAATTCTCATCTGGCCTCATGTGACGGGCCGCAGTCAAAAAGCAGCCAAACTGTTTAATGCATAAAATCAGCTTAAAATGTGGTATAATATTACCTTCAGGCTACGAGATGTAAGAGATATATATACAACAAATGAATTCTGTGTTTGGACTTGGGTCCTGTCCTGTGTTATCTTATATGTAAAATATTCCAAAATCTGGGAAACTCCCAAATCTGAAACATCAGTCCCCAAGGCTGGATAAGGGATGCTCAGCCTGTAGTGCTCACTTCCAACCCAGAAACCTCTGAGTTCCTTTTAGAGACCCGAGCGGCTTCCTGTCTTACTGGTGTATCATGCCTCCTGAGTAGCTCACATTACAGGCTTGCAGCACCACACCTGGCTTTGGTTTAGATTTTGACGTGACCCACTTAAAAGAAATGGGTCATAATCATGGTTTTTTTTTTTTTTTTTTTTTTTGATAGTGTCTCTTGCTCTATCATCCTGGCTGGAAAGCAGTGGTACAATCATAGCTCACTCCACCTCAAACTCCTGACTCCAGCACTGCCTGTCTCAGCCTCCTAAGCAGTAGGGATGAGGTGTGAGTCACTCATCTCCAAGGATCAACAATTTTTTGGGTCAGTATTTTAAGTAAAGTCTACTGCCCTACAACATTTGCGGAGGGAGCTAAGGGAATCAATATGATCTGTATTCAGGATGGGGACTGTGTAACTAGAAGCAGGTAGTTCTCGGGTAACTGCGATAAAATCATGTCCTTCATATGTGATGACTCAGGTAACCAACACCAAATTTAGTTACCAAATACTTTAGCAAAGTGAGGACTGCCTGTATGCATGCTTTCTAAGAAATGGGAAGACTGCAATATCACTTAATGTTACAAACAGCATACATTCACTCCAATTTGTTCCATGTGGCTCTTGTACCAGACCTGTTGCTTCCATTTTAACTTTTAGATCCAGGGAACATGTATACAGGTTTGTTAGATGGGTATGTTGTTTTGCTTTTGTTTTCTTTTGAGACAGAGTCTTGCTCTATTGCCCAGGCAGTGGTAATCTCGGATAGGGGAATGCTGTAACTCTGTGAGTTGAATTAACAGAACACAAAGCATTTTCTCAGAAAACTTCTTTCCAGTTTTTAACTGAAGATATTTCCTTTTTCACCACAGACCTCTTTAGGCTTTCAAATATCACTTTGCAAATTCCACAAGAACAGTCTTAGCGAAAGGCTTCTTGCGGAGAAAGCTGAAACTCTGTTAGATGAAACAACAGAACACAAAAATGTTTCTCAGAAATCTTCTTTCCACTTTTTAACTGAAGATATTTCCTTTTTCACCATAGCACTCTACGGGCTTCCAAATATCACTTTGCAAATTCCAAAAGACCAGTCCTAGCGAAAGGCTTCTTGAGGAGAAAGCTGTAACTCTCTGAGATGAATTAACAGAACAAAAAGCAGTTTCTCAGAAAGCTTCTTTTCAGTTTTTAACTGAAGATATTTCCTATTTCACCATAGCCCTCTATGGGCATCCAAATATCACTTTGCAAATTTAACAAGAACAGCCTTCGCGAAAGACTTCTTGAGAGGAAAGCTGTAACTCTGTGAGATGAATTAACAGAATACAAAACACTTTCTCAGAAAGAATCTTTCCAGTTTTTACGGAGGATATTTCCTGTTTCACCATAGCCCTCTACGGGCTTCCTAATATCACTCTGCAAATTCCACAAGAACAGTCTTAGGGAAAGGCTTCTTGAGGGGAAAGGTGTAACTCTGTGAAATGAATTAAAGGAACCCAAGGCAGCTTTTCACAAAACTTGTTTTCATTTTTTAACGGAAAATATTTCCTTTTTCACAATAGACCTCTATGGGTTTCCAAATATCACTTTGCATATTCCACAAGAACAGTCTTATCGAAAGTTTTCTTGAGGAGAAAGTTGTAACATGGTGAGATGTATTAACAGAACACAAAACAGTTTCC